TCCAGCTACACTCCAACTTCACACCTCCTCCAGTGAGGCACTAGCTCTTACAGGTTCTGTATAGAGTCTCAGGGCCTACCTCCAACTTCACACCTCCTCCAGTGAGGCACTAGCTCTTACAGGTTCTGTATAGAGTCTCAGGGCTTACCTCCAACTTCACACCTCCTCCAGTAAGGTACTAGGTCTTACAGGTTCTGCAAACTTCCACACCTGAGCACCAGCTAGGGACCACGTGCTCCAACACTTGAACCTCTGGGAGACATTTCATGTTCAAACCACAAAAGGCACAGATGCCAATGTCTGCATGTTTTTAAACATGTAGAGAAAGAAGGAAAGGGAAGTTGGAATGTATCACTTGATGTTCCAAAGATGAACACCAAAGAGTAAAAATTAATGACATTACCGAGCTGAGCAGAAGGAGAAAGGGGAGTTAGCAGTGAGCCAGATTACACTAGACGAGGGTTTAAATGAATAAATCGATAAGTAACTGCACGTTATCGAGCACTTTGAACAACTGTCATTTGGGTAGAGAGCTAAAATAAAACTGAATGAGATCAACTTTCTATCATAAGATTTCCTCTCCAGGGTTACTAATGCATGTTGCCAATGCAAGGGTTTTTTTTTTTTTGTGTTGAGGTCCAAACTCAGGTCCTAATGTCCGCACCGTAGGCATTTCACCAACGGAAACATCTCCTCATCACACTTTTAAACGTTCTCATTAAAAAGATAAATGTGCCTAGCCATCTGAAATCCTATTATTGTCATCCCACAAGTAGAGAAAATCCTGTGTGGGGACAGTAGCCAGCCACTGGACTGAGGAGGACAGGGCCATGGGGCTCACCACAGCCCGGGCTGGCTGAGAATCAAGCAGAGAGGTAACTATCACATGTCTCCATTCTAAAGTGCCAATGCACACTTTCCCAGAGTGCTGTGGGGATCAAACAGCGATGGACAAAGAAATGGTCAGAATATGTCAGCTGATACAGCAGGTGGAGGCTCCCACGGAAGTTTGCAATCAGGCTGATCAGGTGACTGAGGGATGAGACGCGACAGGAGACCATGGTGAGCTGACTCACCCTCCCCAAGCTGCACCTTCCTGTCTACAAAATGGGGCACTGCTCCTCCACACCTGCCCATCCAGCTCTTCCTCCAGGTGCCTCTGTCTGGCCACATCTGCTATTTCTCTGTGAGTCACAAAGCCCCTGTTTATAAGGCTGCTCTTGTTCTTAGTGGGCATGAAACAAATTGAGTTGAACAGGTTATTTCATGAAGCCAGCCTTGAAACTGAGAATGCTACACTGGCCTTTGTGTCTGCCCAGGTAACAAATTCACAAGCCACCTGAGAGGAGCCTGCTGTGACTGGCCTGTGGCCTCTCTCTGCAGACTAGAATACTAACCAGTGCGAACCAAGCACGTCGGCACAGCTCACCCGTGGACTGCACTGCCTGTGGCAACACCCTGACACAGAGTGAAGGCTTTTCCTCAGTAAGAAACCTCTTATTTCAAACTATCCTAATACCACCATAAATATTAATCCTATTTCAGGAAAAATGGTTTAAACCGACAAACTCATTCAAAGATGAATCCCAACTGATGATATTAATCCAAATTATCTCATGACTTGAAAAGCAGAGACACCAAGCAACTATTATTTAATCCCAATTAAGTGAAAACAAAATCCTGCAACTTTCGAGGAGATATAACGGACTCTCTTGTTGCCATGGCAATGTCTACGCTTGGCCATGCTTACCAGTGGCAGAACTGCCAGATACAATCAACCTGTGAGACAAGAGAGAGACGGAGCGTCTCGGACGTCACTGTCAGGGAGCTGCAGTGAGAAGACAGGATGGCAAGCTCCCCTTACGATGAAGCAACGCTGACCGGGCAGCGGAGGGGAGCCAGTTCACACAGATGTGACCGCATTACGTCCACTCACACACGCCGGCTAGCTTGACCCTCTCTTCCATCTCACCATTACACATGAACTCTTGAAACACGGCAAATGAGGTAACAGGACAGTCATATGAGCTACCACAGGACTGAACTTCCCCGGGCAATTGCAACGCCTTTTCCCCTGAAGTGACGGTCTGAAGCAGGATACGGAACCTTTGCGACAGAGTACAGATCCTGCTGGGAATCTGGCATCGTGACATGTACGTGTGTAGAGAGCACCAGGTAAGATGTGAGAGCGTCAGTAATTTCATTCACACAGTTCACTCAGAGTTTCTCTTCACCTTTTTGTGAACTGAGTTTCTGGTGTGTGATGCTGCAGCGTTCCACAGCATCCTGGCAAGGCCTTTAGAAAGAATGTCCCCACAGTGCTGCCCGAAGTATTATATCAGACAAGACCTACAAGACCATCGCAACTACTCCCACGTGACAGGAGTAGCAGAATCCCAGAACCCAGGGAGGCCACAGCCTCTCCATCAACCTGTCTGCAGGATAACCACATAGGTGTCACCTGGGAATGTGTTAAACTGTGACCTCCCAAGCTGCACTGCTGTATCAGAAGCTGTCCCATGATGCCAAGTGGTCCACAGGAATATTTAAAAATCAGTGACCTAGGGTTGGGAAGTAGTTGGTACTGGGTTCCCCTGACATCCACGAAGCTCTGAGTTTATCCCTAGCATTGTAGAAAATCAGGTGGGGTGGCACTCATCTATAACACCAGAACTTGGAAGGCATGGGAGGTAGAGGCAGGAGGAAGAGGTTCAAGGCCAGCCTGGGATACCTGAGACCCCATCTCAAAAAAGAATGTAAGAAAGGGATGAATATTCAGTAAGTACAAAAATGTTTAACAGAGACGGAGCAGGGAGCCCACAAACTAAGAGACCAGACACACACACCTGTTGGTGGGCACAGTAACTGCTCTGGCTGGCTCAGATCCACCAATCACAAAGCACAAGAAATCATTTCAAACTGAGCCTGTTTGAAAATGGCAACTTCCCTGTCTCTGAAAGCTATCCACACTATTTATCAGGACACTGGGACAGACCTGACAAGGATAGTCCAACAGAACCAAGTTTCTGGGAAGCAGAGAGGGAGGAACATGGCTTCACTCTGGTTAGACTCAAGGCCTGGCCAACACTCTGAATAATCTGCAGGCTTACCTGACCTGGCCTCCATGGGCCAACCATCCCATCAAGACTTAGAGTGACGATCACGAGCTCTCCATCTTGCCTTAGCCCAGTTGCTTAAATCCCTTTGCCAAGTCAGGCGACAGCTGAGATTATGTCCTGTCTCCATGGCAGTTGGCCTCCAACAAATCCCATCCCCTTTATCTTTTCAAAGACCTGGCGCTGTAACCATTAGCTTCTATGCCTATGGGGTAGTACCCTTTGCTGAGGATCAGTTTGACCTAACAAGTGTGGGTTTTATAGTTAGGGTGGATCCCTAAATCTGGATCCCAGCACCCACGGCTACGGAACCAAGGCAAGCCAAGCACTGAACACTGCCAACTTCCGCATCTGTAAAGTTAACTGAGCTAGATCAGGACACCGTCACAGTACCTGGTCTCCCACTCTCACCGGCCTTCAGCACAGCAGGAGGATGCTATGACCTGCCAACAGGGTTGGTACAGGCTAAGTGGGATCCCCTGTCACGGGGACACACACCTGTCACTCTGGAGCTTCAGGACTCACAGAGTACCTGTGGTACTGAGGTTTTCCCCCTGCCACAGCCATGGCACCTGCCCTACAAGTGCTCTCCCTGGCCAGGTCCTGGCATAGGGAGGGCCTGGCACCAGCAACGCCCAGCCTCTCAAGAGTCTCATTTGACACTCTAAATCAAGCTGCACTGGAATAAAACACAGCCATCTTTAATTTCTCATGTGTGCTACCCTTGAAGTCCCCTTCAGGTCTGCGGCACATGTCTATCTAGACTTTGGTTTGGAAGCTTCTATCTAAAGGAGTCGAAGCTGTGTGTGCATAGCATACTGACTGTTTTGAGTTAAGAACACCTTAAACAGCTCCCTCTGTGTTTTCTCCCGTTTCTGACGAGCAGAGGAGGTCTCAGGAAAAAGAGGCCCTCCCTACATTAGAAGGAAGCAGCAGTCTTTATCAAGGACAGGACGTTGGGTCAGGATTCTGTGCAAACCTCATGTAAATATGTTGAACTCTTCCCCTGACTCGGCTGCTTGACCACCCTCCCTGTCTCTGTTCCAATTGGTACATATAAGCATCTACCTGCTTCTTTGGGTCTTCCCATGCCACCTGACATTTCTATGATTCATGTGCATGTTTTTTCTTGTTAATCTGTCTGGTGTCAATTTTGTTCTCAGGCCAACCCAGAAGAAAACCCTAGAAGGGAAGAGGTGAAATTCTGCTTCTCCCAGATGCCAATTATTGTGGCTTGTAAATTTCAACCTCTTCTCACTGTGCAATATTTAGAATGTTAATCCAGCTCATGTAAAATCCGCCTGCTTTTATGCAGTTTCATATTAACTCATCCAAAGCTCTCCTACTTTCAAACTGATTCTTCAATTTCAATCAATGAATTCTTAAAAATAATTTAGTCTCTTTCATTTTAGTAACTTTGAACATCTGTGTGACTTATGTCGTTTATAATGGTATAAACCACACAGGAGAATCCTGAGAACTTACTTGTTAGTGGTGTGTGGACGTAACTCCCATGGGTGCTGAGTGGCCATCTTCAAGAACACCCTGCTGCCTGCTCACTCTGTAAGTCTCAGGGGCACACTGGGATGAGCAGCCAGCAGTTGGCTGCTCATAAACTCCCACACTGCTACATCTGTCTTTCACTAGAGCCCAAACCATGAGAACCACAATGCCAAGCAGCCACCCAAGCCCACGGACCCTTGCACACCATGCCAGTGGGCCAGAATGTAAGTGAACAGTTCCAGAAGCAGAAACAAGGGCGCTGAAGCTGGACTTTGGACTACATCAAACACAGGGGCAGTAACTCCTCTAGGCTACCAAGTAGTGACTTGCAAAGTAATGTATCCGCTTCTGGTGACATCTATCAGTGTTGAGGGGACTCACGGAGAGAAGACGTGCTGGAGGAGCTCCGCAGAAAGTGGTGGAGGCCGTCCTCGCCGTCACTGGAGCTGGTGATGCTGTTCCTCATCTCCAGCATGGTGATCTGTGTGCACAGGCTCATCTGCGGCTCCAGCTTCTTAACTTTCTGCAAAGCAAAGTTAGCAGATGCCTGAGGTTTACAGCGGTGACTCAGACATCCCCTGTAAGGGGATCTAAGTTAGTGCTAAAACGAAAAGGTAGTAAGTGCTCTAGAAATGTCTGCTGTGGTTATTACTAGCTGTCCCTTTAAATACATTATTCTAAAATTATAAATATGAATACTCTACTCAGTAATCTGAAATAGTAAGCACAACTGTTTCTCTTTTGCAGTGTTAGGGATCAAACCCAAGGTCTCATGCATAACAGGCAAGCACTCTCTGGCTCTGCCTCTGCCCCAGGCCTAACTTACAGTGGGAAGTACCTGGACAGGGGAACCTAAGAGGAACACCGTATCCAGTGCCCCCGGCAGGCAGTCCGGTCACAGGAGAATGTTTTAAAAGTTCTCATCTGCAATTGTTTTAATTTCCTTCTAAACAAATGCAGAAAACTATGCTGCCTAGAGCTCTGGAAGTCCATCTTCGCTGGTCTCTGGATTCCTGGGAGACGCAGAGGGCACCAAGGCCAAATGCCAACTCTTAGTCTGACTTCTTACAGTCCTGCCTTGGCACGCCTTCTCCATGCCCACTCCCTCCCATCCTCCTTCATCCACACAACAGACTTCTGGGAAGGACAGTACTCCATCCCATAAATGAGGTCCTTAACAGTCAGGCCAAGCTACGGCAATGGCAATAATTATAACATACTTCCTTGCCTTCAAGAAAGGACTTGCTAAAGAGTCTCTCTATTACAAATATCCCCTCTGAAGTTTTGAATACTTAACGAAAATTCAGGAAAACACACATATCTATTTAACCAAAAGAATCAGAAAGGCACTTACTTTATCATTTAAGGTAGGATCATTCAGTGAGTAGAGTTTATTTGTTATGTCTTTTCCTATAAGATATCTAAAAATTTCGTACAGAAAAGGCTCTGACTCCAGAAAGTAAGTCAGTCTTTCTCTTGACCAGCATAAAAACCTGCAGTTATCATCTGCAACAATGGTGACCTGTGGAAGAAGCAGACACAATCATAGATATATTTATTAAATTAGTTATAACCTAACACACTGTATAGAATTATTTTTAAAGACACAAAATCAGTAGACTAAATCCAGGCAACTTCTCTGAGTTTTACTGCTTTGGTTTGTGTGGTCTCAGGAAGAAAGAACGGCCACCATGTCAATACCGCTGTGGATGTTGCAATGGGAAATACTAATTATGGTAAAATATGTCTTTACCCATTGTTGTTTACAATGAAGTTTAAAGATAGACCTTCATGCAAATGAACTCAGGAGAGAAAGAGAGGGTGTGTGAATGCATGTGTGTCTGGTTCTGGGACTCAAACCCGGAAATGTTCTACACTGAGCTGCCCATCATTGAGCTACACCACCAGCACCTAAGATTAGACCTGTAAAGCAAATTTCCTAGGAACACCTTTCACCCAGATGACTCATAAATACACATACACTGAGAAAGACTCAAAGGCTCGGGTCAGCTGCTGATGAGGGCAGCTGGTGAGCGACCTTCTGCCGTGGGTTTCAAGGCTAGTTCCAAGGTAGCCTACTGAGCTAGGAGCTCAGACTAGCCCAGCGCTGAGACACCACACCCTCCCATGTAAGCAGTGCAGCACGGGAAAGCAGGGGTGGTCACCGTCACGGCGCCAGAGCTCAAGCGACCCTCCCATCCCCTTCTCCGTGCTCAGGGGTGGTCACCATCACAGTGCTAGAGCTCAAGCGACCCTCCCATCCCCTTCTCCGTGCTCAGGGGTGGTCACCGTCACGGCGCCAGTGCTCAAGCGACCCTCCCATCCCCTTCTCCGTGCTCAGGGGTGCTCACTGTCATGGCGCCAGAGCTCAAGCGACTCTCCCATCCCCTTCTCTGTCCTCAGGGGTGCTCACTGTCACAGCGCTAGAGCTCAAGCGACCCTCCCATCCCCTTCTCCATGCTATCAGGGCTCAGAATCCAGAAGCCCCTCCTACCAGGCAACTGCCCTTCAACACTCAGAATGCTATCACTTCCCTCATGATGACACTCATATCCTAAGGGCCCAACTCATCCCCGACACACACGTGCGGACTCCGGAGCACACTGACGGAAGAGACCAGGTGTCTTCAGGTCCAGTGCCTGGCTTCATCACAGAGTGGTGGTCAGCCCACACTCACAAGAAGTAGTTGGCAGAAGCAGACACTGGCGTCAGTAAAGTCCAGTTCACATCCTCAGCACTAGACCAGTGCTTGTCCCAGCTGGAGATTGGTAAAAGCTAGCTAAACTGACATGAAGTCTTATCTGGGCCTCAGAACAAATAGTTCCAAAAGAGCTTCCTTTTCAGAAGTCAAAGGAGGATTTATGTCTACCAAGAGAAAAAAAAAACCAAAATGAAAACCCCCAGCTTCCTGGTTCCCTCATACCAACAGGCTGAAGTTGGCGCTTTGGAAAATTAGATTAATTAGTTACTTCCAAAAGTGGGCCAATGCTCCCAGAAAAATAAAGTTTGCATTTATTACATCAGAAGAGGCTTTGTGAAAACGAAGAACATCTGGATTTAAGAAATGCAGATTTTGAGTCCACAAAACACCATGTGACACTCTTCATCGGTATACACTATGACGAACGCACTTCCTGCCAAATACCACCCATGACACTGAAGGTAGGACAGCCAATAAGAAAGACGAGATCCAGGGCTGAAGAGATGGCTTAACGCTTAAGAAGGCCCGCTGTGCTTCGAAAGGACCTGGGTTCAGTTCCCATGACCCGCATCTGTGACTTCAGTTTTGGGGTGTGTGATGCCCTCCTGACCGCCAGGGGTCCTCACATTGTGCACGTGCATACACAGACACAGCCATACCCGCATAAAAACCTCTTAAAAAGACAAGAGCCAAGAGGGGCCAGGCATGGTATCCTATGCCTGGAATCCTAGCACTCAAGCAGCTAAAGCAGGATAGCAAGTTTGGAGCCAGCCTGGGCTACATATACAGTGAGTGCCAGGCCAGGCTGAGATCCACAGTAAGATGCTATCTAAGAAAGGGAGATGGGGGAGGTGGAGGAGTGATCAGTGGTAGGAGTGCTTGCCATGTAAGCCTAAAAACAGAGTTCAAATCCCAACGTCCACATAAAAAGCTGGGTGTGGCCCCAGATGCTGGTAACCCCAGCACTATGGAGGGCAGAAACAGGAGGATCATTGGGGCTTGTTGGCCACCAGGCTAGCTCCAGGTTAAGTGGGAGATCCTGAACTCCAGGAACAAGGCAGAATGGCAGAGAAGTGCACAATGGGGCCTCTAAGCACACACACACAGAGATGCACACCTGCACACATGATCCTTATTTTAAGAATATGGCTGTCTTGCCTGTATGTATGTCTGCGCACCACTGTGCCTGGTGCCGTGGAAGCCAGAGAGGGTGTCAGATCTATGGAACTTGAGCTACTGACCACCATGAGCTGCCATGTGGGTATTAGAAATTGCTTTTAACCTCAGCGCCATCTCTCCAGTCCGAAGGTGCTGTTTTCTTTAAATACCGGTTAAAATTTAATGCTCGTTTATTTCACAAGAGCAGGGACATGCACTTCTAAGACCTCTCCCTCAGACTGACTTTCAGGTTTCACAGCACCATGCCATGTGACTGACCGTGGGAAGCAGCAGCCCGAGACAGAATCAAAAGAAAAATGTTTATCAGAAATGATCACTCAATAAAGAGAAACCCAAACACAAAACACTACTGCTACTTTTATAACAATGACACTGAAGACCCTGTCAACGGCTGTTAAGTGACAGCCTGATTTGCAAGTCCCACAACAGCAGGCACTAAGGACAGTGAGTTTCGGGACGATTCTGGCATCACCAGTCTGCCTGTAGCCCTTCAATTACGACAGTGTTTACCATGTGATGATCTATGCTGCCTTGCCGGTCTTCTCTTTTCTACTACTGTTCAATCAGCACCCTGACCACAGAACGAATCTACAGAAATAATAGTCTGAGTGGTGGCACATGCCTAGAATACCAGCACTTGCAATGCTGAGGCAAGAGGACTATCACTGGTTGGAGCCAACCTGGACTACACAATGAGCTCAAGGCCAGCTTGGGCTACATAGTAAGATGCTGTGTCAACAAACAAACAAAAAATAAAAAGGGTTGAGGGTGTAGCTCTGTGGGAGAGTACTTGCCTAACATGCAAGAAGCCTGGGTTTGATACCCACACTGCATAATCCCAACACCCAAGAGGTAGAGGCAGGAAGATCCAAAGTCCATGGAGATCCTTGGCTACACAGAGTTCAAGGCCAGTCTGGGCTCCACGAAACCCTGACTCAAACAAACAAGGTAATCCAATGGATATAAGTCCGTAACAGAATGCCTCCTAGGGAAGGATGTGAATGTGCTTCAGAAAGAGGCCATATTCACGGCCCTCTGATGTACAGCTACAAGAACACACATAAACAACTACTTTTCACTGAGTATCTGCCAACAGAAATGCTTTGTAAACAGTCAAAGCACAATCTCCCTGGGTTTATTCTGATGAAGTTGGCTCTGTGGTTGGCACAGACTCGACGGTTGTGTCGTTTTTTTGTCCACTGGCAATTGCAAAATACCACGAACTCACAAAATACCATCCCCTGTGCCAAAGAAAGCTGGCTGGAGTGATCAAGGATGAATCCACATCCTTCATCCAGCTAGGGTACTGCAGTTTTCATCATGTTCTTGGAATCTTCGCATCAGTTAAGAACAATTCTAAACTTCTAAAACTCAGTCCCCAAGAAGAAGGGAAACTGTTGCCAGTGGAGGTAACATTTTTGCTAGCTTAATTACAAATGTAACTTAGAGTCCAGCGGAAAGTGAGTACATACTTCTACACCTGGTCCTTGGGGATTACTCCTTCTGGAACAAAAGTTTAGTTTCCACCCCAAACTGACTCTTCTCTTCAGGATAATAAAGAGACTGAGTTGTTACATAAAACCACCTGCTCCCACAGAGAGGAAAGAGTGTAACAGACCGCGGTGGACCAAGCAACTATAAGGAGGTCAGCAGAAAGAGGAGACAGACGTGGTCCTGTGAGCCCATCCTGTTCTGGCTCACGGGTGATGGTGGTTAAACACACTGCTCAAATAGAAGCAGACACCCTGGGACACAGACGACCCCCCACAGTACCAAGGTCAGAACAGCTGGACACACACCAGCTTTCTTTTCCTATATGTCAAACATGACCAGCACAGAACAGAACTGCATCATCAGTGTCTTAAGTCAGTGTTCTATTGCCATGCCCAAGACAACTCTTATATTAGAGAGCACTTAATTGGGGGCTTGTTTAGTTTCAGCGGCTTAGTCCATTATCATCATGGCAGGGAGCAGACAGGCCATGGGACTGGAGCAGCAGCTGAGAGCTGTACACCCTGATCCACAAGCAGCAGGCAGAGAGAGAGAGAGAGAGAGAGAGAGAGACTCTGGGCCTGGCCTGGGCTTCTGAGACCTCAAAGCCCACTCCTAGTGACACACCTCCAACAAGCCACACCTCCCAATCCTTCCCAAACAGTTCCCCTAAGTGGGGACCAAGCATTCAAACACATGCACCTATGCAAGCCATTCTCACTGAAATCCCCACAGTCAGTGAGCTTAAACGAGTACTTCTGGCAAATGTGCCCAACTTTAACAAACTCCACAGTTACCCAGGCCTTTTATGCGAGCAGAGTGGCAGCAAGACAGGGCTGACATTCGAATGAGGTAGAGGGAACTGCACTTTCCCTTCACGTCCAGCCTGTGGCAGCTCGAGTTGAAGGGCACCCCAAACCGAGCCCAGAAGACTCTGCAGCAAGGGACGGTGGCAGGTCCTCTTTCTTCGGTGATGACATCCTCTTCAGTGCTATTTCTCATTCAATATGCACTGTACCAAAGCAACCCTGTGCCCAGAATATCTCCTCACTGCTATTTACCCAGAGAGCTGTGTTCTTGGCTGCGCTCCTAAGAACAGCAAATACAACAGACGGCCCGGGGACTTGGGAACAACCCGGACAGCTGCCATACAATGGAGAAGAACTAAGCTGAGTAGTCAACGTCTGAACTGCTGATCCTGAGAGGAATTTCCTCTTTGCCTTTAAACACGGTCACTAACTGCAAAAGAATGAAGTGATCGGAGGGGTGTTTTTCAGTAAGTTCTCGGGAGTAAAGCCAGGTTTCTGTTTAACTAATGGAGTTAATCAAGGATGTGTTTAGGAACATGAATTATCTACAAATGACATAATCATTCTCATAATAAAGCTGATTTTTTAAAAAGACTGCATGTATTGTTATTTTACGTGAATTCACAAATGCCAGAAGGGGGCGTGGACCCTCAGGGACTGGAGTCACAGATGATTGTGAGTGGCCAGTGGGTGCTGGGAACAAACCCAGGTCCTCTTGAAGAACAGCCTGCACTCTTACCTAGACCCCCAAACAATAAGTTTTTAGTGGAAATATTAAGAAATTTAAGTGACCAGTTTTGAAAAATGAAACAGCAAGCAAACTCACACCCCAGAAATAATGGTGTTAGTGTCACGGCTAGATCAGGACACGGCTTTCCAGACCTCCACCTCCAGTTGTGTGCACACAAGCACTGTCCACCTCCAGTTGTGTGCACACAAGCACTGTCCACCTCCAGTTGTGCTCTCACAAGCACTGTCCACCTCCAGTTGTGTGCGTACAAGCACTGTCCCATCTCCAGTTGTGCGCACACAAGTACTGTCCACCTCCAGTTGTGTGCACACAAGCACTGTCCCACCTCCAGTTGTGCTCTCACAAGCACTGTCCACCTCCAGTTGTGTGCGCACAAGCACTGTCCACCTCCAGTTGTGCTCACACAAGCACTGTCCTCCTCCAGTTGTGTGCACACAAGCACTGTCCCACCTCCAGTTGTGTGCACACAAGCACTGTCCCACCTCCAGTTGTGTGCACACAAGTACTGTCCACCTCCAGTTGTGCGCACACAAGCACTGTCCCACCTCCAGTTGTGTGCACACAAGCACTGTCCCACCTCCAGTTGTGCTCTCACAAGCACTGTCCACCTCCAGTTGTGCTCACACAAGCACTGTCCTCCTCCAGTTGTGTGCACACAAGCACTGTCCCACCTCCAGTTGTGTGCACACAAGCACTGTCCCACCTCCAGTTGTGTGCACACAAGTACTGTCCACCTCCAGTTGTGCGCACACAAGCACTGTCCCACCTCCAGTTGTGTGCACACAACCACTGTCCCACCTCCAGTTGTGCTCTCACAAGCACTGGCCACTTCCAGTTATGTGCACACAAGCACTGTCCCACCTCCAGTTGTGTGCACACAAGCACTGTCCCACCTCCAGTTGTGCTCTCACAAGCACTGTCCACCTCCAGTTGTGTGCACACAAGCACTGTCCTCCTCCAGTTGTGTGCACACAAGCACTGTCCCACCTCCAGTTGTGTGCACACAAGCACTGTCCCACCTCCAGCTGTGCACACACAAGCACTGTCCCACCTCCAGTTGTGTGCGCACAAGCACTGTCCACCTCCAGTTGTGCTCACACAAGCACTGTCCCACCTCCAGTTGTGCTCTCACAAGCACTGTCCACCTCCAATTGTGTGCACACAAGCACTGTCCCACCTCCAGTTGTGTGCACACAAGCACTGTCCACCTCCAGTTGTGTGCACACAAGCACTGTCCCACCTCCAGTTGTGTGCACACAAGCACTGTCCCACCTCCAGCTGTGCGCACACAAGCACTGTCCCACCTCCAGTTGTGTGCGCACAAGCACTGTCCACCTCCAGTTGTGTGCACACAAGAACTGTCCCACCTCCAGCTGTGCTCTCACAAGCACTGTCCCACCTCCAGTTGTGCTCTCACAAGCACTGTCCACCTCCAATTGTGTGCACACAAGCACTGTCCACCTCCAGTTGTGTGCACACAAGCACTGTCCACCTCCAGTTGTGTGCACACAAGCACTGTCCTCCAGTTGTGCTCTCACAAGCACTGTCCCACCTCCAGTTGTGTGCGCACAAGCACTGTCCACCTCCAGTTGTGCTCACACAAGCACTGTCCCACCTCCAGCTGTGCTCTCACAAGCACTGTCCCACCTCCAGTTGTGCTCTCACAAGCACTGTCCACCTCCAGTTGTGTGCACACAAGCACTGTCCACCTCCAGTTGTGTGCACACAAGCACTGTCCACCTCCAGTTGTGTGCACACAAGCACTGTCCCACCTCCAGCTGTGCTCACACAAGCACTGTCCCACCTCCAGTTGTGCTCACACAAGCACTGTCCCACCTCCAGCTGTGCGCACACAAGCACTGTCCCACCTCCAGTTGTGCTCACACAAGCACTGTCCCACCTCCAGTTGTGCTCTCACAAGCACTGTCCCTCTTACAGTTGTGTCACACAAGTACTGTCCCACCTCCAGTTGTGCGCACACAAGCACTGTCCCTCTTACAGTTGTGTGCACACAAGTACTGTCCCACCTCCAGTTGTGCGCACACAAGCACTGTCCACCTCCAGCTGTGCTCTCACAAGCAATGGCCACCTCCAGCTGTGTGCGCACACAAGCACTGTCCACCTCCAGTTGTGCGCGCACAAACACCGTTGAAAGGTAGGAGCTGTTGCTGTTTTGTTTTATTGAATTATACTGTGCACACTACTGTGGGCATCTCCTTTTTTAAAAAGAAATCATGGTGACTTTTCCATTTCACTGGATTTGAGTGAGATACAAAAAAGTTTTAACCTTCGAAACCAAATCCTACCTGGAACTTTTCCCCTTTGTGCATCTGGGTTGATCTGAATTCTGGGGAATCGATAAAGGCACAGGGGTAGATGTTATGCAGAAAATGTCCTCGATAGGAGACCTTCATTCTGTTAACACAAGTCAAAACGTTAACAAACATACAGCACTTCACAAAAGCAAAATCATTCTTTTTATCACTGAAACAGTACAGTAGTGTATCTGCACTATTTTAAATATTCTACAAGTAATGGACACAACTTAAAGCACTTCCAGAGGCACAAATATATTTAAAAACGACCTGAGAAAAGCACCAGCATACATCACTAGTGCAGACCACGCTACCATTACAGTCACTCGTGCAGTGGGAACGAACATGTAATTTCTACATTACAGACTTCCGAGGGGAAGGGAGGCTGTTAACAACACGTTTCAAGGCAGGCCCAGTGACACACGTCCGCAGATCCAGTAACTTAGGAGGCTGAAGATACAGAGTCACATGAGCCCAGGAGTCTGAGACCTCACCCAAAACCACCACCGAGTGAGCACAGTAACAATTACACCCATGCAACATCCGAGACTCTCCATTCAGATCCTCCATATAGTCTGTGCTACTCAAAAAACAGACCACCTCTGCCATATGCATAAGCTTCGTGAATTTAATTTGAACCTACTTCAATTTTGACTCATTAACTTCAAGCAAAAGTAAACATGGTTAGCAAAGTATTCACTGTAGAAAATTTTGGTATCAATACGATTCAGGACCACGGTGTCTACCTAGCTTTGGCACACACTTCCACAGCAGCCCAAATTTCAGTTGCAAAATTACTTTCACCAACACACAGCCACTGCTTCCTCCATTGGCTGGCAACATCTCCGTGTTGCACTCCTTCCTAGAGGTTATAAAAGATGGAAGGCAACCTGGGGGTTCCTATTTCCATGTAACACTCACCTCCCCTTTAGGAGAATACTAAGACGATCATCAACTGAGGTTTTATCCTCTGTGGCGTACGTCTGGCCCTTTTTCAAGGTCTGGATCATACAAAACTGTCCAGTTAACCTTCTGAATAAATCAGGAGGGACACGGAGTGGTTCAAACAATCGGTGGTAGACACCACCCAGCTCCTTTTCGATCTTGACCTGAAAGACAGTGATGTTGAGGTCCTGGACTCTTGAGGGCGGGATATAGACATAAGAATAAACAAATCTATGGTACACACCGGTGGCTTGCTGTATGCGGTCAGTGGGGTCTTAGAGAGTTAGTAGTGGTGTAATTTATACTCTATCGGGAAGGCTGAGAGGACTCTAATGGTCCACCTTTCTACTGATCCTGAAGCAACGTCTGAGTTTTTGGATTCTGTCAAAACACATACCTTCCTAACCTTAGCAGCAGTCCATAACACGTTTGTTTCAAAAGAAGAAATTACCTTAACTTTTAATTATGACAGTGAGAATGGAAAAACAAATTCACAAAATATGCATTAAGCATTTTATCTCCATGTAATTATTTAATGCATCGAGGCAGGAAAGCCAACACTCATGGCTGCAATCACTACCTCATATTTACATATTCCTAAGCAAAGGAAGAAAAAAGGGTAGAGCTCTGGCATGGTGGTCTCATCCCAGCCTAAGCTTCGTAGCACTGAGATCCCTCTGATGACTAAGACTGGCTACGGACAGCAGTTCGGTGACTGTCGTAATCACCCCTTCTCAGAGTCTCTCAGGCCCAGGGCATGCAGCGTCTGGAAGCCACCATAATTGGGTGCATGGAAAATTGTACTGCACTGTGAATGAACTCTGTCTCAGTGAAAGCTCAATGAAACACGATGAAACCCACAGAGTCCGAGCACAAAAGCTGCTTCTACCTGATGTCACTCTGGTCTGTCCCCATTTCATTCTGATGAAGAATCATCTTTATTTATTTAAGTGACAGAGAAAAAAACCAAACCAAACCAAACAACAGCCCTAGATGTGAGATGTTCTTTCTGGTGCTTCAATCACGTCAGTGACTCAGGGACTGTGAACTTGGGTTTCCAGAAAAGGCTCTAATATCTGAGAACTGTCATCCTCATTATTACAGTTCTACCTCCTCTACTCCACAGCTCTAGTAGTGAGCATCCAGCATGATTTCCTCACAAATCTGTCCCATCCAGCCCACACAATATCTACTGTGGCACAGTGATGAACACAGGACCTGTCACAGTCTAGTCACACACATCCATGCCCCGTCTTTCCTCTACACCTCAGCTCAAGACTCAGTTTCTTCGTGAGGCTGCCTGAATTCTCTTCTTTGGAAGCATCTGTTTGTCAAAAGTTTCTCCGAGCATCTTCAGTGTACACAGGGCTACAACGGTTAGTGTGTTACACTACACTATTGCCTCCAATTGTTTGCTGTCCCGTAAGAGAATTACTTTGCCCTAATTCCAACATCAGCAGGCTTGGCCAGGCCACTGGCTTTGGCCAATGAAACAGTAAGCAGAAGAGACACAGATTTTTTTTTTTTTTTTTTACAGAAATGGCTTTTTGTTTGATTTTTAATTTTTTTTTTTTTTTTTTTTTGGTTTTTCGAGACAGGGTTTCTCTGTGTAGCTTTGCGCCTTTCCTGGATCTCGCTCTGTAGACCAGGCTGGCCTCGAACTCACAGAGATTCGCCTGCCTCTGCCTCCCGAGTGCTGGGATTAAAGGTGTGCGCCACCACCGCCCGGCTTTGATTTTTAATTTTATGTATGGGTATTTGGTCTGCAATATGTGCAATCAGTGCCCATGAAGACTAGAAGAGGGCATTAGGTCCCTTGGAATTGAGTTATAGATGGTTGTGGGTGCTGGGAACTAAACCCAGGTCCTCTGCAAGAGCATCCAGTGCTCTGAGCCACACACCACTTCCAGACCCTTGAGCAGATGGATGTTTTCCAGCTTTTGTATGGTCCCCTCTGCCGTAAGAATGCACAGTCCCAAAAGAACTTGCTGCTTTAGCAGAGACCCGGAAACATAAGATAGACTCAGTGATGCCAGTCAACAGGTAAGGTGGGTGAGAAGAAAGGCCACTGCTGTTCTGCATTACTGAGATCTCATTCATCACACAGCCTAACCCAGGAAAATACAGACCAATACATACAAGCAACCCAAACTGAGCGGCTGTGTGTGAGGAGGTTATGGAGTAGTGGAGTACCCACATGTATATCACCTGTATTTCTGTGTGAAATGTCCTATTTTCTAATAGTTTTCTACATTAAAATCAGAGCTAAGATGAGCATTACAGCCTTGGGTGACTGAATGCTTGTCCTTAGGACAGTCAGTGACCACGTATGGAGTGATTTCTGTGAACCCAGCTGCCTTCTACTTTGTTTTTTTTATGTTCTTGGAGGTTATGTTTGGTTGCTGATGTTGTTTTGTTTTTAAGATGGAACCTCATTCACAGCTCCAAGCTAACTTCAAACTCACTATGTAGAGCAGGCTAGCCTTGAACTGTCACTCACTATGTAGAGCAGGCTAGCCTTGAACTGTCACTCACTATGTAGAGCAGGCTGGCCTTGAACTGTCACTCACTATGTAGAGCAGGCTGGCCTTGAACTGTCACTCCCCCTACTCCATAAGTGCTGGGATCACAGGGGTGTGAGCAGGCTTGCTCTATTTTTGGTTTAGGTATTAAGAAGATGTTGTAAGAGAAGCCAGTGTTAAAAATAAAAATGTTAAGTATTGATATTCTGGTGAATATCCACCAAAAGTGCTGATTTCTTCACATGAATATTTTAAACTCAAGAAAGATAATAGCCATTATACTATGAAAATAGAATGAACTATCTGCAAATCATTAGTATGAAATGGAAGTTGCTTATCAGTAATTTTATAATTAAGCGAAGATATTTCCAAGTGATAACTGAGTATCAGCAGACCAGGAAATAATCACATAATATGCCTAAAAAAAGACAGTATTAGTCATGTGTTCATGCTCTAGCAAGTCAAAGTTCGGAAAATTCATTTGTTAAACAAATTTCACAGATTTCAAACGCGTTTCTCTCAGGCATTTACATAGAAAGCTCAATAGTCAGAATATTTGAGAGGGACTAAGATGCTCACTTGCAAGTCTAAATGAAGTACTTTTAAAAAGCTTTCATATTTAAAGTTACTTTCTCATTAAAAAATTTTAGTAATTACCGGTCTTTTCTTGTACAAAAGATATGAAAGATGCAAAATATTGATACCCAAGAACACCGAGTTCCAGATCATTATATCCAAGGCACATCGGTAGAGAGTGGCCCAGACTACATAAAGGGTACACCCTGTTGAGTAACAGAAGCAGGTGTTAGACACTTAAAACAGATTCAGTCAAGAGCTTACTATAATCCTGCTCTGCCTAGAACCAAATATATCTAGAAATAGTAAGCTGAATACCACATTTCCATTCTGGTTTATTACTAAAAAGATTCCCCCCACACCCGACCACACCACACCCATCCATCCCCCCCAACACAGACACCAGACCATACCACACCCATCTATCCCCCCATACCCGACCACACCACATCCATCCCCCCACACACACACACCAGACCACACCACACCCATCCATCCCCCCCACACACACCAGACCACTCCACACCCATCCATCCACACACACACCAGACCACACCACACCCATCCATCCCCCCCACACCCGACCACACCACACCCATCCCCCCACATACACACCAGACCACATCACACCCATCCATCCCCCCACACACACCAGACCACTCCACACCCATCCATCCACACACACACACCAGACCACTCCACACCCATCCATCCCCCGACACACACCAGACCACATCACACCCATCCATTCCCCCCTCACACACACACCAGACCACACCACACCCATCCATCCCCCCCACACACACACACCAGACCACACCACACCCATACCCCCCACACACACACCAGATCACACCACACCTATCCATCCCCCCCACACCAGACCACACCACACCCATCCATCCCCCCCTCACACACACACCAGACCACACCCATCCATCCATCCCCCCTCACACACCAGACCACACCATACCCATCCACCACCACCACACACACACACACACACACACACACACACACACACACACACACACACCATCTTTGGGTGCCATTGTTCCTTCACTCCATTTCTTTCTGCAGGACCCCACCCGGGAGTGTGGGAATTGGAGACAGTACTCTATCAACTGGGTACACCCCCAGCCCTAGATTTTCATTTGAGACAGTGTCTCCCTTTGTAGACCAGGCTATCCTTAACTCTGTATCTTTCTGCCTCAGTCCCCCTATACACTGGGGTTACAGGCATGCACCGCCACGCCCATTTGAGGGTACAATTCTTGGTAAATAACAAAGGCAACCTCATATATGAAAGAATTCTCCATTTGTGGCTGTTTACTTAAGCTGGGGCTGAAGGTGAGGAAGGGAATGAATGCCACATTTGGATACCACTGAAGAAACGTGTTCCAAAAGGTTCCTACAAACTCGCAAACCTACGAGCTGGAAACATCAGTACTGCACTTTCAATACTATAAAGTCTGAAACTCCTATCCAGGCACAGTGGCCCACACCTTTAATCCCGTACTTGGGAGGCAGAGGCAGGTGCATCCTTTTGTGAGTTTAAGGCCAGCCTGGTCTATAGAGCGAGACTCTATTCCCTCCCACCCCCCAGGTTTTTTTTTAAACCTCATTATCAGTTAAGGAATTACATACTGCATTTTATTTTGTTTTTTTCGTGATCAGTGGTGAACTCAAATACTTTATTTACTTTGCTGTTTTGAGACAAGGTCTCATGTAGCTCAGGCCAGCGCTGAGCCCTAGTGTGGCTGAGGTTGTCACTGAGCTTCTGATCCAACCTCCTGAGTGGCAGCATGCTCTACAGTGCCTAGTTGATGAGGTGCTGGGGACCTCACCCAGGGCTTCACGTAGCCGAGGTAATACTGTACCAAATGAGTGAAATCCCAGCCAAGAGCAAACGCCTTCCTGAAACTTTTTAGTGACCCGAATTTCTACTTGGTGATTATCCATTCATCAAATGGTCTTCTTCCTTATAGAAAATATCCTTATTTTCTAATTTTATAGGGGAATGTAAGCATATAATATAGTTCTAGTTTAAAATGATCACTAAGATATGGATTTATAGATTCACGTGCATATGAGAGCTAATTTTTCACATTTAGAATCAGACGTGCAAATGCTGGACTTCATCACAGTGGAACATCTGAATAAGTCTCTTCCCTCTACCTCCTCAGTCTCCTTATGTGTAGATGAAAGTGCCGGGCTAAAAGACGCATTCTGGTACACTGTACCTCCAGAACCCCTGTCTTAAGATTTATAATTTGGAGCCGGGCGGTGGTGGCGCACGCCTTTAATCCCAGCACTCGGGAGGCAGAGGCAGGCGGATCTCTGTGAGTTCGAGGCCAGCCTGGTCTCCAAAGCGAGTTCCAGGAAAGGCGCAAAGCTACACAGAGAAACCCTGTCTCGAAAAACCAAAAAAAAAAAAAAAAAGATTTATAATTTGGATCACGGGTTCCCTCCATCCAACAACCTGCCTCTGCAGTCCCTACCTTAGCAAACGCCACACAGCTCCAGAAATCCCAAAAGCTGATGCCTAGCTAGCCTTTCTGTCTCTTATCGTCACTGTACATTCAGGACAAAAAGCTAGTCTTCCTTTGTGCTATGCTATAACTTCTCCTCTCCTGTGCCCTTCACCAGGTTACTCCATGCTCACACTTAAGAGAAACCTGGTCATTTCCCCAGAGCTATCGTGCCATAATGCGGGACCTTGCCTTGCATCAGCACTGAGCCTGTCTCCTGTCTGCCCTGAGCAACGGGGTACAGGCCTGCAGTGCCCAGCTGACACCCCACACTGTGACTGCCCATCTGTTTTCACAAGGGTGGAGACTGCCTTCCTTAATCTGTCTGATATATTACAAGGGTCAGAAACACACGTAAATAAATGGAGACTCGAGGGGAGGAATCACAGAATTTGTCAATAATCACTGGATAAAACAGTAACTATTGTTTCAATATTTTGATGTGAATAAACATACCCAATCAGTTAATAGGGTCAAAAATGTCCATATTACATACATGCTATATGAATGGTACACTTGGTTTATTGTAAATGGGAACTGATTTTGCTCTCATATCCCTTCACTGGCTACAGCAAGTGTCTCTTCAAACCATAATGGCAGAGACAACATGGCCGCTCTGTGCCAGGCACTATGCTAACACACGTTTACTCAATCCTCACAGTAACCCCAGAAGGTAGCTTTATTTTTATCTTTCTCTGATACAAGGGGAAACTGGAGTGACAGTAAATTAAAATCATTTGCTCAAGTTACACAGTTAGCAAGGTGTGGAATTAGGGCTGGAATCACACGGTCTGGCTCTGACAGCCACATGCTGGCACATGAATAGACTTTCTGACATACAGAACCTGCACAGTCTAGAAAAGCGTACACCACTTACACAGTTAAGGAAGGGAGACGATGGCTGTGTGGAGACCTATGTGCTAAGCTGGGAGACAGACTGCTGAGCGGTTAACACAGGCTTACGGTTCTTCTACGCTATACACCTGGAAAGGACACTCTAAGCTCCCAATGCCAAGTCTACTCGACACCAGCTGCACAGTGTTATCTGAGCCCAGGGTGCCTCACCTATAGACAACATCCCTCTAAGAAGGATCATGTGGAGGCGAAGAGTGGTTGGAATCACCAAACCAACTGCTAAACAAATGTTTGCTACATGGAACACCAGATGATGGACCTCTCTCCAGTTCTCACAAGTGGTCTCATTGGAAGGCACAGGTGTGACGCTTCCCAACTCAGAGTTAAAACCTGCTAGAGTTGATTCTGCCAATGGGCTGGACTCTGTGTAATTCATGTTGAAAAGTCCTATAAAGACAAAAACACAATCAGTCATAAATGGAAAGTTCATCTTATCATACCTATGACAGGTAATATGCCAAAATTATTTTTACAAATTACATGCTAGTCAACAGTTTTCCAATACTTATCAAGTACATAGGTTCAAACTCCAGCCCTGTCACAAAGAATGACCTTTTCTGTGCCTGTCATAATGATCTCCCGTTTGCCTTATGTTGAAATGAAACATCTCAGAGAGTTCAGTGTGTTTAGAAATGAACACACACATACTTGAAGAGGGTAAGAATCAGCAAGTATGAGAAACTAACACCTACATTCATAGGTCACAACATTTACACCGGGTTAGCACAATCTTCAAACCATTCACACTGGAGACGGAATCCAAGCACTGGAAAAAAACTGTAAAACAAAAACAACAACCAAAAAAAAAAAAAAAAACCCTGGTTTTCTAAACCTTTTAAAAATGAACACCCTTATATTTATTACTTAAAAGCTGTTAAATCATTGCACATACCTATCATAATATGTGCACATAGTACATAATCATATACTTTACTAGCATATACACACATATAAAGAACTTAAATAGCATTCAAAGTTTCTTTTATTCTCCAACTTAAGTCTCTATTTTCATTCCTCAAATAATTCTAGTTGATAGCATCTCACAAATTAGAAAGTAGTAAGTGTACAATTTGTATGTAGGAAGGTTCATGAATATATTTGGGTATTTAATATTAAGCACCACAGCAAATCCATTTCAAGTAATATACATTTTACGCACATTTATATTTCAACTAATATACATTTTACACACACTTATATAAAACAATACAAAGTATCACTCTGTTCTGTCCATTATTATCTATTCTTGGTCCCTGCTCCACATGTACACACACACACACACACACACATACACACACACACACACACACACACACACACACACACACACACACACAAAACACCCTTCATTATTAATTACACAAATTTGGTCCTTGGCAAAAACTATGTAGGTTTACAGAAGACATGAATTAATCTATTTCATTTTTAAAGTTAAATGAAGACCAAAAATATCTTTAAATTTAATTTAGAAATATATACATCTTTCAAAATAGAGAAATTTACATTTTTAACATAGTAAAGATTTTAAGTGGTATAATAATAGGTGTGGTTTGGACATCTTGAAAGAATGCTAGACAAGTAAGTATATGAGGATAAATTCTGTATATCGTAAGATGACAAACAAATTTATAAATATGAATGAAGTAAGTAAGTGGAAGTTTACTTTTGTGACATTTGCTTTAAACATGATGACAAGAGAGTTACATACCCACTCCAAACAGTTCACAAATAATAAGTTGACTTAAATATTGATTTTTCTGTAAAAAAAAAATGAGAATTCAACTACTTTCCAACAGTCTTAATAAAAATCTAAGCTTATTACGATGGGGGACTGGTTCCAAGAACCTGGAAGTGTGAGTGCCTCCTGCTTGCTATAGCTACACAATGCCTGTGGGAGGCAGGGGTGGTACATATGGATCTATACCCTTCCAAGGCCTCCATCGATACTGTCACCGAGGAAGACCTGAATGGGATAAGATTGAAACACAACGCGGACAAAAAACCATTTCACTCATACTTTCCTGAGGCTGAGTCAGAGTCGGTCCCACAAGCCATCGGGGAGCCTCCCTCCTCAACCTGTTTTCCCTTGGAACAGAGACGCTGCACTACATGGTCTTAGTTCACTTTCAGGCTCTTGGAAGTTCTAAAAGTGGCGTTAGTTTACATTTCTGGCCAAAGTAAATTGATGAGGAAACTATAATCCGCCTCAAAGCCAGACAATATTAAAAACCATTAAAATGTATTGCATGTGTTTATTATTTCTGGGGGGTGGGTGGGCGTACAAGCCAAAGGACAGCTTGCTGGAATCTCCCCTTCACCACGTGGGTCCTGAGGAGACAAGGCATGCGGTCAGGCTTGCCTGCTAGTGCCTTACCGGCCGGTGAGCTTCCTCACCAGCCCAACAGCCAGGTTCAAACGTAGGATTACTGTAAAACATATTTTGATGTGCTACACTTTATTAAAGGTATACAAATTATAGACGCAGCTGCAGGTATATAAATACACATATAAAAGTGTCTTCTTATGAAATACAGCCATAAAAGTGTTTACTGTCTTTAAAAATCAGTTAGTTTTTTATATTCAATGATTAATCCAACGGGCTTGGGCTCAATCACTACGTAATGGGTTTAAATGGCCTACACTGGTCTGCCCTTATACAGGGAATGAATGAAGAAGGTCAGATGGGTGAACTGTCAGATTCATTGTTACTGAATCAAAACATCATCTTTCTCATCAGATCCCTAGAGTCTAGTTCCTTACTGTAGTAAAATCGTGCCCATCTATTGGGTTTTCAAATAGGCGTCTGCGGTTCTAAAATGCTAAATGAGAAAGCTAACTTTAAACCCTGACCAAATCACAAAAATGACGGTGAACAGCAGTGAGTAAAGAGCCGTGCAAACAGTTCACTGTGACTGTCACCGAGTCTCCGCGCACCTCGGGCGGCCAGCGGCGTGGCGTGGCCGGGTCTTCCCTTCGGGTTTACGGGCTCAGTCCGGCTTGGGAACGAGGGTGCGGGCCGGTGGCGAGGACCCGTGGCCCCCGGCCCTCGGCACCCCACCCGGGGACCCGCTCACCTCGCTCTCGGAAGAGTGTCAGCGTCCCCAGCTCCGCGCCCCTGCGCTGTCCCGCCGAGGGCCCCCCGGGCGCGGGCGGGCGAAGGGCGGCTGCAAGGACGGCGCCGGCGCCGAGTGCGGCGCGCGGCAAGTTGCTCGGCCGCTCGGGGCTCAACTTTGCCCGCGGTGAGCCGGCGCTCGGCGCCCTTACCTGGCGTGTCCCGGGGCCGGGCGCGGGCGGCGCGCGCCGAGTTTGCGACGGCGGCGGGGAGCGGCGGGGAGCGGCGGCTCGACGGGCTCGCGGAGGGTCCCCGGGCGGCGCGGGCCCCGGCCAGCTCCCCGCTCGCGGCCGCTTTGACTAAAATAGGCATCGCGGCGGCCAGCTGGGGCGCACGGCGCACGCGCCGCCGCCCGCCGGAGGTTGCCCCCGCGGGCGGAGCCCCGCGCCCCGCGGACCCGCCGCCCCGGCCCGCCGCGTGCGCGCGCCCGGCTCCCGCGCTGCCTTGTTTGGGCATGAGTCGGGAGGCGCGCCCGCGGATCGCCCCCCGGCAGGGGCGGGCAGGGGACGGGGTGGGGCGGGCAGACCCTGGTTCCCGCCCGCGGAGAGCCGCCCGAGGCTCGGAGAGCTGTTGCGCCGCGGCACCCGGCCGCCCAGCGGGACGCGGGGTCCCCAGGGACCTCCCCTCCAGCCACTGGGCTGGATATCAAAGAAGCGCGCTCAAGTGCTTGCTTGTCCGAAATGCAGACGCCCGAGGTGAGGCGGGGCCTCTCTCGTGGGCCAAGCGGCGTTTGAGTGTGCCCCTTAGATTTGAGACCAGAAATGGAAAAAATGGGATATGGACGTATACTCCGATCAGTATTTATGCTGGTCAACGGTTCTGGGTAAGAAATGCAGAAAGACGACAGTAAATGAAAAGTCGGTGGGGTGGAGGTTCTAGGACGAATAGGAAGGTTAAAATGGGCATCCGTTTCCCACCACGTGTCCACTGTGTGACAGAATTCGCACCGGTTATTTGAGAACGAGGTCGTGAGTGATCAGAGTACAAAACAGACCACCGCTGTGTGAAGGTGCATTGTAGAGTACCCCGAGGTGCACGTTGTCCGGGTTCCCTAATTGAGAGGTGCAGCCCGCTGTTCCAGAGTAAAGTCTGCTCTAGATGGCTCTGGAGCGTTCCCCAAGGGCCTCTGTTGGTGGCCTGGCTTGATCCCAGCCTTACTGAACTTTTAAGAAGAGATGGCTCAGGAGTAAAGCGCTTACCATCGTGACAGCCTGAGTTTTCAGTTCCGCAAAGCAGGATGAAATCGCCTGGAATCTGTTATCCCGGCGTTCCCATGGGGACAGGGGGAATCCCCAGCAGCACCAGAGGAAAACTAGGTCTCAAACAAGGTGGAAGGCAGGGCCGCAGGGGAGGTTTCCTCCTTCCTCCAGCTGCAAGCTGAACTGGCCGTCATCTCTCCCTCTCCCGGTCCCCTCACCTCCAACCTCACCCCCTCATCCCCATTCCTACCCTTCCACTCTCTTCCCTCTTCCTCTCCATGAGTGCATGTGCCAGAGCCTGTGGAGGCCGAAGGTCAACCCTATATCGTCATTCCCTAGGGACCATCAGCCTTGCCTTTTGATACATGGTCTTTCATTGGCCAGGAGGACTCTTATTGGGCTAATCTGGCTGGCCACTGAGCCTCAAGGAACCTGCCTGGGGCCACCACCACATGCGGGTTTTGCTTGTTTATGGTGTTTCTGTTTTTGTTGTTGTTGTTGTTGTTTGTTTGTTTTTCTGTGTAGCCCTGGCTGCCCTGGAGCTCACTCTGTAGATCAGGCTGGCCTCGAACTCAGAGATCCGCCTTTCTCTGCCTCCTCAGTCCTGGGATTAAAGGCGGATGTCACCATCACCCGCCTTTTTTTGAGACAGGTTTTCTCTCTGTAGCCCTGGCTGTCCTGGAACTCGCTATGTAGAGATCCGCCTGCTTCTGTCTCCAACATGCTGGGGCGTGTGCCACCACCGCCTGGTGACACTGGGCTTTTTTTAACACGGGTTTAAGGGGTTGAACTCCTGTTCTCAAGTTTATGCAGCTAGGACTTTACTAACTGTATACCATGTCTCCAGGGTTGTACTGAGGACTAAATTTCATCACACTTGCAAAGGTCTTAGAATGTTACCAATGTAAATTCTGTGCATATGAATATGTATTGTCTGTTGAATTTCCTTTAAGTTGTCTGAAATTAGTTTTTGATGCTACTTGTTCAGTCTGTTAGCTTCTAGGTGTTGTGTGTGCCATTTTGGCTGCCACGGTTACATACGATTACGGTATGGGTGTCAACTTCCATGTCCAAAGACTTACTTCACTGTATGGCTGTTCGTTGGACGATGGTTCCTGGTGTGAGAACTGGAAATAGCCTACATTCTAACCACAGAAGAGTGAATAAATTTAGAACAACCAGTCTTATTCTAGATGGTTATTAAAAATAGTCCATAGGACGGGGGAAATGCTGTGGAATAGAATATTTGTTTAACTATGTAAAGATGTGTTGCTGTTTCACCTTGCCTGCCTAAGGCACCTGATTGGTCTAATAAAAAGCTGAATGTCCAATAGCTAGGCAGAGGAGGAGTAGGCAGGGCTGGCAGGCAGAGAGAAAAGCAGAGCCAGCCAGGGCCCAGCCAGCCAGCCAGCCAGACACAGAAGAAGCAGGAAAAGCAGGAGGGACAGTACGTAGATGAGGCAAACGTGCCTCAGGGCAGCACATAGATGAATAGAAATGGATTAATTTAAGTTAAGAAAAGCAAAATTAGGCTAGAAACAAGCCTAAGCTAAGGCTGATCATTCATAATTAATTGTAAGTTTCCGTGTCGTGATTTGGGGGCTAGTGGTCCAAGAAAGGCTGCTACAGGGAAATGATGGCTTGGACATTAAAGAGCTTGCTGTGCAAGTGAGAAAGCCCAAGTTGTGATCCCTAGAACCCAGGCAATCCTAGGAAGGTGCCCCCTCAATTCCACCATCAGAAGACAGAGATGGGGCTCTCCGGAGCAAGCCATCAAGTGAGACGAGTCATACGGGGGAAGCCCTGGGTTTGCTCCCTCTATTTTAAAAGATTTATTATTTTTATCTCTGTGTGTGTGTGTGTGTGTGTGTGTGTGTGTGTGTGTGTGTGTGTGTGTATGCATGTTTTGGTGTGTGCACCATGTGTATACAGGTACCCTCCACTCAGAGGCTAATGGGTGTTAGCTTCGAGGGAGATTCCTGAGATCAACCTCAGGCCTTCACTGCCTTGTGTGTGCATGCACATCAGTGAGCATACCACACAAGCATGAACATGTGCAGACAGGCATTGCAGATATCATAGTAATGCCTACTGAATATACAGGGCAGTGGTTAGCAGACAATGGCCCAGAGGCCCAGCCCACAATTTTTTTTAAGGCCTATAAGCTAATATATTTTGTTGTTGTTTTTCAAAGGTTGAAAAAGGATCTGAAAACATTTAATGATCTGTGAAAATTCTATGAAATTCAAACTCAGTATATAAAATTTTATTGGACGGTCACAGGGTGTCAACGGGGGCGACCCACCTACGGGAGAGAATGAAAGGGACGGGAGACACAAAAGAAGACAGCAAGACAGGGTTCTGATCAAGCTGCAAATTTTATTCTCCTCAGCAAGGCTTATATAGCATGGGAGGGGGAGGGGTCAGGAAGGAGGGAAGGGGTGCACGATGTGCCATACGTGCAGGTGAAGGGAGACGTGCAAGTCGTGATGCTGCAGGGTGTTGTGCTACTTGGTAAGGTCACTGGTCAAGGCCCATTGTTCTGTTGCTATGCTACCTGACCTACCTGACCTGTTCTTTATCTTTGGGGGCATCTGGTTTAGGGCCTGTGGCTTGTTCCCTGGCCTAGCTAGTACTTTTCCATGGTTCATGTTTGGTCCCTGACAGAAAACATTTAATGATCTGTGAAAATTCTATGAAATTCAAATTCAGTATATAAAATTTTATTGGAAGACGGTCATGTGAATTTTGATGGCCTTTTTTGTACTTTAACAACAGTATTGAACAGTAGTGACAAGACCTAGATATTATTTGACTCTACAGAAGAAGTACACTGACTCCTGATACAGACTATACTTTGGGCCAGTCACTATAATAAGCAATTTTCTATTCTTACATCTATTTTTTTATAGATAGGAAATTGCAGTTACAGGCTGAGTGAACTACTTACAGTTACACATCTCAGAGACGCTGAGCCAGGATGGGACAGGCAGTCCGATTCCAGAGCTGTACTCTTGGACACAACTTCTACCATTCCGTCCCTTTAGCTACAGTGCCTCCTGCACAAAGATGTCAAGCAGGAAGTGGAAAGGGGCAGGTGGCGCCAATGTGTCAGGACAGTGTCGGGCATGCTCCCCAGGTCAGAGCGGGAGCTGATGGATGGGTTGTTTTCTCCCTCCTCCCCTGTGCTGTTTCCCTGTCAGCCTCTTTTCCTGACTAGGCCTCGCCTCGTTCTGCATTTGCTTCTGCCAAATTTCCCACAATAATCATGTGCTGCTTTTATAATTGAAAATTATTAAAAGATCTACGTAATGGCTTTTGTGGTTCTCAGAGAACCGCCTGTGACAGGCCACTCACTTGTGCTGTCGGACGGGGATAGGGGCCCTTCAGTGTTCTGCTCACTTGTACCATGGAACAAGGGTCCTTCAGTGTTCCACTCACTTGTACCATTGGACAGGGGTCCTTCAGTGTTCCACTCACTTGTACCATCCGATGGGGTCCTTCAGTGTTCCGCTCATGTGGACTGCATACTTTATGAAGAGCACTGAACTGTGATGACATGACCCGAGTTCCAGGAATCTCTGCTTTCACTCTGCATTCTAAGAAACAGAAGGTTGAAACAAAACAAAACAAACCTCATCCCCTCAGGACAACCTACCTCAGGATTTAAGTCATAATTTAGCCTATCTTACTGCATTTCAATTAAAGATACACAAATGCTAACTACAAAATTCAAAATAAGAACTTAGA